CAATCTCCTGTTGAGTTTGTAGGTGTTCAGAATGGTTTGATCCCTATCCAGCTGAATTCCTGAGAGGAGACGAAATCCAGGTCTCCTACTCCTCCACCATCTTGCTCCGCCTAGAAGTTTCTTTCAAGTTTGCTGTTTCAAATAGGCAGTTTTATTGAATTAAGCCAGGTGTAGTTTTCAAAATGTTAGTGTACTATCAAAACTTCTGTGTATTGGGTGAAGATAGAAGCCCATATTGTTTTAACCCTATGAGATGGAGAACAAACACAGTATTGGGAGGAAAGAGGCTGAGTTTAAATGACATTAGATCTAACCCAAAATTGTCAAGCCAGGTAGGATGTTTACAAAGGCCATCTGCCCAGAGCCATAATGTCCAGATCAAAAATTCAAGAACGAACACAAGAGTCCAGTTGTCCATATACAATGTTTTCAAGTAAACGAGAGTTAAGTTTAGAGAGTGAGTGCCAGTGTGTACGTAGGAGAGAGAATTAAACAATGTAGGGAAAGCTCTTTCTGCTGGATGATCCAATGCCTCAGAGTAGCAGGTGGAAGGAATGAATCTGCCCTCACATAATGTCCAGTCCCATGAGCCTCTCATTTTGGGAGTTTCTTGCAACCTAAATGTCTCAAGACACAAAGCACACAACTTAATCTTGTGTTACCAAAAAAAAAAAAAAAAAAAAAAAAAAACCCAGCTATTCTCCAGCCCTGGAGGAAAAACTGCTTGTGTGGGATTTATTGAATAAATATACTGTATATTGTACTGTATCCTTGGCCTAATGGATTTCTTGAATGACTTTTCATTGTAAACAATTTTGCTTTACAGCCTTGTTTAAGAAATGAATCTTTAATTAAGAAGTAATTCTACTATACCCTAAGATAGGATCACTTCCAATCAAGATTCTATAATAGAAATACGAAAAAATCAAGTATATGTAGCAAAATAAATTATCAGTTCTTAATATTCAGATATGTAAAGATAATGTGCCTCCATAGTTTTCTATAGATCAACTCAAACCTCTATCTTACCTGATTTTAGCCATTTCAAATTTAAGCTAGCCATCTAAGAGTTTCCTTTCTCTTTCTTTCCCCAGTTTCTGGGTTCTTACCTAAGTTTGTGGGGATTAATGAGTGGTAACGGTGGTGGTGTGCAGCCGGGGAGGTTGGTCATTGCTCAGAATCTGGTCACCTGCTAACACTTTTACCCTCCCGAGTCCCTAGCTTCTCATCCTCCCATGCTGGCATCCACTAAGATCCATGATCCCATCGGTCATAGTTTTTATTCCACAATCTATGTTTCCCTCTCCATACAGAGAAGCATTTTCTGATCTGCTATCCTTCTTACATATACTTCTTTTCCACTCTTGGGGCCATGAGATATCTATTGTCCCTGAACCCTTTGGGCCCTAGGAAAATGTCTTTTAGAGCTATCTCAAGTGTGATCTGCCTACTCACATCCCACCACCATTTCTACTCTGCTGTTCCTACACTAGGCTGAAGTAGTACTATAAGGACAGTCAGTTTTTGTCGGCTTCCTTGGGTTCCACCTTAGAAGCAAGCATATGTCCTTCTTCCCTCCGAATGACAAATTTAAATGGAAGGTATAAGAAGTTCTATCATATGCCTCCACTTGGAACTAACCATAGAGAGAATATAGCACGACCCACTCATATCTTAGAAACTCACACCCAGGATTCACTCTGATGTACTTTTTTTTTTTTTCTCTTTTCTCCCTAAGCCTAACTTGAAGGCTCTTTGTCAAGACTGAGAAAAATGAGTGCTTGCTTCAGTAGCACATGTACTAAAATTGGGACGATACAGAGATTAGCGTGGCCCCTGTGCAAGGTGAGACACAAATTCATGAAGCATTCCATATTTAAAGAAAAAAAATTTGAAAAAAATGTAAGATTTTTTGGCATGAACTTTATGCTTTGAACTTTTTTTGCTTCTGAAAAATATAAAAACCCAGCTCTTGTAGTTCAAAATTCCTTAATATTATCACCTTGTCTTAAATTTCAAAAATCTATTTCAAAAATCTATTTCAAAATGCAAAAGCTAAGCATTCATTTCTTCTACATTTCTGCAAAAAATTCACTACCATGATGGTAATAGGCCCAGGATGATTTAATTGCTAGGGCAAGGAGAAATATTCAGTGCCATTCTGAGTGGGGAAACATACCAGCTAATGTGACACAATATCTCAAAAGTTCATCAAGAAAACTACTTGAAGGAGAATATTACCTCTTAAGTGCTGAGGGGGAACTTTGCCTAATGGAAGAAATTTCTTTCTTTCTTTTTTTTTTTTTTATTGGAAGAAATTTCTTATAAATTTCTTAATTGGGCTTCTCCAGAGGGGAGGGGATAGTAGAACTATGGTGGTAGCAGAGCTCTCTGATGTGGCAGTGAAAACTGTGGGTGAAACTTACTGGATGGTTTTATTTAATGGAGTCTATTCAGCTCAAGAAACAACAGTGTTCCATGGACTTAGAGTTTGAGAACTACCATGGAACCATCTGATATTCCTATATTAACTTACTCTTGTTTCATCTTTCAAAGATTTGGAATCACACCTTTCTTATGACCAGTCTTTTCTCTGCATGGGCTAAAAAACAACCTAAAGTAAAGAAAGAGTGATTTCACAGGTTCTTGTAAGCAAAACTCTAATCTATGACGTTTTGCAAAAACAAGACCATGGGGCAACGGGTTTGTTTTGTTTGGGTGGGGGTGGGTTTTTTTTGCATATTTATTTTTGGTTTTGTTGGTTTTAAGTAAAAGACAGTCAACAACTATGAAGAAATAGATTTAGAAAGAATTTCCACCATGAGAGAATGTTTCCCAGCAGCTCTTGGTACAGGCAATATTATATTTCCTGCCGAAACTCATTCAAAAAGTATTTGGGCCATTATTGTTACTTGAGAGCATTTGGAAGGAGTCACACAAGAGAACTGTAGTTCCTACAACTCCCCTCTTGTATCTATTTGAGCAATAGTAAATAGAAGAGCAGTAGAATTATAAGTGATAGAGTACATGAAGTTCAGACAGAAAGCATATGTCCCTTACAAAAAGAGCTTTGAACAATGGCAGGCAAACATTCACTGCTCTCAATGAGCCCCAGATGTAGAAGATAAAGTAAACCATATGGGTCAGAGGCAGAAACAAAACTAAGAAAAAATGAGTATTTCGAATAGACCAAGACTCTACTAGATGGATCATTCTAAGCACACACATCGAGGGACTTCACCAGTAGCAAGAAAATGGTTGATAGTTTTCGACCAAAGAGCCAATTCAGATAATGGGATAACAGTTCCTAGAGTTCTGTTTTATGTATGCCATTCTATATAAGCTCCATTTAGCTCCTGTCAAAAGTAGAAGAGCCATAGGGAGTGGCACTTAGGCCATGAATTTGGTTTCTGAAGCTTAGAAAAATGCTGCAAGCAACCTGAAAGAAATAATGGTCTTTAATTCTGTTAAGTATAAATTGAATATTTTTAAAAGTGGATTTTAAGGGGCGCCTGGGTGACTCAGTTGTTAAGCACCTGCCTTCAGCTCAGGTCATGATCCCCAGGTACTGGGATCGAGCCCCGCATCGGGCTCCCTGCTCCGCGGGAGGCCTGCTTCTCCCTCTCCCACTCCCCCTGCTTGTGTTCCCTCTCTTGCCGCATCTCTGTCAAATAAATAAATAAAATCTTTTAAAAAAAAAAGTGGATTTTAAGTTTCAAACAATTATTTTGTTGATCTTTAAAGTATCAAGTAAACCTGTTCAAGCATGTTAAGGAAGGGCATGTAAACGAAAACTCACATGAAACTATAGTTACTATCCTGGATCACCAACAGGTTAGAGGATTCACACCTAAATAGAAAGCACTTCTACTGGAATAAGTCAGTAAGTGATCTTTTTAAATTGTGTCTGAACAGAAAATGTATACAAGCCGATAAGTATCTGCAAAAAGAGTACATGTAATTAAATCTTTGAATCTAAGATATTTATTTTACTATTTCTTTTTTTTTCAGTATTTGCATCACTTTATTTATTTTTGTCATTGTAATAGATACAGACCATGGATCATTTTACTATTTCTAAAGTAGGTAATGTTATAACATTTGTGTAATGGTGAGTTTTTTTCTGAACTACTATAATTAGACCAATCTTATTAAATGGTGGCATCTTAAAACTGGAAGACTAGGACAGTAGTTGATAATACCATCAAAGTAAGAGCCCTAAATTTCCTTGGCTTTCTTTTCCCCCAGTTTTGAGATATATTCAACATATAGCACTGTATAAATTTAAGGTGTAGAGCATAACGATTTGCCTTACATATATTGTGAAATGATTACAATAAGTTTAGTTAACATCCATCATCTCATTTAGGTACAGGGGGGAAAAAGGAAAAAAGAGATTTTCCTTTTGATGATGTTTTCCTTGTGATGAGAACTCAAGATTTACTCTCTTAAAAGTTTTCAAATGTACCATACAGCAGTGTTAACTGGAGTAGTCATTATGTTGAACACTACATCTCTAGTAATTATTTATCTTACAACTGGAAGTTTGTACCTTTTGACCACACTCACCCAATTACCCCTCCCTTACCCCCATCTCTGGAAACCACAAATCTTTGTTTTTAGTTTGCATATATAAATGAGATCATATGATGTTTGTCTTTCTATGACTTAGTGTAATACTCTTTAAGTCCATGTTGTTGCAAATGGCAAGATTTCCTTCTGTTTTATGGCTAAATAATATTCTAGTATGTGTCTGTGTGTGTAATCACATCTTTATCCATTTATCCATTCATGAAAACAGGTTATTTCTATGTCTTGGTTATTGTAAATAATGCTGCTATGAAAAAGGGGTACAAATACATTTTTGACATAATGTTTTCATTTCCTTTTGATAAATACCCAGAAGCAGAATTGCTAGATCATATGGTAGTTCTATTTTTAGTTTTTTGAGGAAACTTCATTCTATTTTTGACAGTAGCTGGATCAAATTACAGTCCCACCAACAGCGCACAAGTGTTCCCTTTTCTCCAATCCTCTCTAGCATGAGTTATCCTTTGTCTTTTTGATGATAACCATACTAACAAGTGTAAGGTGCTATCTCATTGAGGTCTTGGTTTGCATTTCCCTGATGACTAGTGATGTTGAGCAGCTTTTCATGTATCTGTTGACCATTCATATATTTTCTTTGGAAAAATATTCCAGGTATTCTATTTAGGTTCTTCACCCATTTGTAATTGGATTATTTGTCTTCTTGCTAGCAAGTTGTATGAATTCTTTATGTATTTTAAACATTAACTCCTTATCAGGTACATGATTTGCAAATATCTTTTCCCATCGGATAGGTTGTCTTTTCATTTTGTTGAGCAGATGTAGTCCCACATATTTTTTATTTTGTTAAATGTGCTTTAGGTGTCATAGCCAAATAATCATTGCCAAGACCCATGTCAAAGAACTTCTTTCCTGTTTTCTTCAAGGAATTTTACAGCATCCAGTCATACTCAAGTCTTTAATCCAGTTTGAATTAATTTTGGTGAGTGGTGAAGAATAGGGGTCTAGTTTTATTATTTTGCATTGTGAATATCCAATTTGCCCAGCATCATTTATTGAAGACACTGTCTTTTCTCCACTGAGTATTCTAAGATCGCTTATCAAATATTAGTTGGCTGTATGTAAATGGGTTTATTTCTGGGCTCTCAATTCTATTCCATTGGAGAGTGTGTCTGGTTTTTATGCCAGTACCATACTGTTTTGACTACTATAGCTTTATAATATAGCTTGAAATCAGAGTATGTGATACCTCCTACTTTATTCTTTCTCAAGATTGTTTTGGCTATTTGGGTCTTCTGTGGTTCCATATAAATTTTAGGATTCTTTTTCTACTTTTGAAAAAAATGCCATTGGAATCTTGATAGGTATTGTATTGAATCTATAGATGGCTTTGAGTAGTATGGACATTTTAACAATATTCTTTTTTTTTTTTTTAAAGATTTATTTATTTATTTGAGAGAGAGGGAGGGAGAGAGCCAGGGAGAGAGAGCTGAGCAGGGGGAGAGGAAGAGGGAAAGGAAGATGGAGAGAATCCCAAGCAGACTCCCCACTGAGCATGGAGCCCCATGTGGCGCTTGATCCCATGACTCTGAGAGATCATGACCTGAGCCTAAATCAAGAGCTGGTTGCTCAACTGACTGAGCCACCCAGGCACCCCTTAACGATATTCTTCCAATCCATGAACAGAGGTACCTTTCCATTTATTTGTGTCTTCTTCAATTTCTTTCATCAATGTATCTTAGTTTTCAGTGTACAGATCTTTCACTTCCTTGGTTAGATTTATTCTAAGTATTATTTTTGATTTTTTAAATTTTGTGCATGGGATAATTTTCTTTTTCAAAAATGTTTCTAGTGTATAGAAATGTTACTGATTTTTGTATGTTAATTTTGTATTCTGCAACTTTTCTGAATTTGTCTTTTAGGTTAACTTTTTGGTGGAGTCCTTAGGATTTTCTATATATAAAATCATGTCATTTGCAAATGGAGACCATTTTACTTCCTCCTTTCCAATTCTGATGACTTCTACTTCTTTTTCTTGCCTGATTTCTCTGGCTAGGATTCCTAGACTATGCTGGATTAGAGTAGTGAGAGTGGGAATGCTTGTCTTGTTTCTGATCACAGAGGAAACGTTTTCAACCTTTTACAATGAAGTGTGATGTTAGCTGTAGGCTTGTCATATATGGCCTTTATTATGTTGAGGTAGTTCATTCTACACCTAATTTGTTTGGAAGTTTTACTGTGAATAGATACTGAATTTTGTCAAATGCTTTTTCTATGTATATTGAGATAATTATTTTTCTTTTATTCTTTGTGAGGTATCACATTGATTTAT